TTTGAACAGCTGAACTGCAGATAACAGTCAGCTGAAGTGGCCTGCAATACTGCACCCTAACCACTGCGCTACCTCGGCTCCTTCTGGTTGAAATAGTGTTGGCATATAGTGCATCATTTCACCCAAATGAGAGTTTTAGTAATATATAAATAGATAATGCTATTGTGAAAAATATTTTCAATGTATTTTCAATAGGATGAAAAAGCAATACAGCAGAGATGTACAAGACTGTATAGTTCAGTGATGGCTAACCTTTGGGTTATTGTGTGCCGAACGTGCCCATAATACAATGCATGTGCAACACCCCCTGCGCACCCTGCCCCCCTGTGCATGCACATGCAACCACCACATTCCTGCACATGCACATGTGACCTGTGCTCCCCCCCTCACATGCACGTGTGATCCCCATGTGCCCCGTTTTGGGCCTAGTAGGCTTCCCTGCAGCCTCCTGGGAGCAAAAACAAGCCGCAGAGGGGGAGGCCTCCCACACTCCCCTGCCCATGCATGCATGCCCCCCCTCACCCCATGCATGCGCATCTCCTGCATGCTCCCATGCATATGTGGCAGAGACCCAAAAATCAGCTGGCCAGCAGGAGGCATGTGTGGTGGAGCTGAGCTGGGGCAACAGCTCGCATGCCCCCAGAGAGGGCTCTGCGTCCCACAGGTTCGCCATCACTCGGCTAAGGGAAAGAACAATAGGGTTAATTTAACAATGGGATTGTGATCATGTAATAGGCAGTTGGTTGATAGCATTGGTCAAATGAGGACCCAGATTGTTAGGGGCAAGATGCCAACTCTATAAACCATTTAGAGAGGGTCGTGAACCACTCTGAAGTGGTATATAAGTCTTAACTGCTGTTGCTATTTGACTGATCGATTTTTAACATGTCAATCCCAAAATGTGTAGCATTGATTATAGCCGGCTTCAGGATTCAGAGTTTTAATTCTGCAATCATACCAGGTTTTTCCCCCTCCCTCAGGTGGAAGAAATTCGTGGGTTCATAGAGAAGATCTCAGAAAATGTGGAAGAGGTGAAGAGAAAGCACAGTGCCATCCTCGCTGCCCCAAACCCTGACGAGAGTGAGTAAGGTTGCCTTGCATTTCTTTCACGACTGGACCAAGAAAAGCAGTAGGATTTTGCTAGGGACAGAGAGTTTGTCTCGTGGTTGCAGTTAGAATGAAGGCCTTCACTGCATTGTCTCATTCATGTAAACCAGATAGAAATTGGAAACTTAGGGCCAGGATGGAGCATGACCATGGGATTCCATGGGAGTTCAAGAAGAAGGGACCTGAAGCTCGTCTCAGGCTGTGCATTTCTCATCAGTGTTTATGCTTGTCAAAGACTTTGTCTTGAAATGCTTCCAGATTTGGTTTGTTTCATTATGCAGCTTCCCTGCCTCGTTCGTGGAATTTGACAGGGAGATCCAGATTATGTTACCAAACACTTTTATGCCTCTCCGCCACCTCCATCTATCTGTTTTGTACAACAGACAAATCCACCGTGGAGGGAAAGTTCCAAAGGCTGCAGGATGCCTTTCAGCTGATAGTGTTAGGTGTTAGCCATGTAGAAGCAGCTTTGCTTTTTAGATTAGCCAGCTGGAAATTCTTTGTTGTTGTTGTTTTTGTTGTTGTTGTTGTTTTTGGGAGGGCTGCCCCCCACATGGATCTCTGCTACTATGCAACCCCTATTGTGGCTAGCTTCGTATTTTCCCTGCTCTGTTCCAAACAATGGAACGTTCTCTCCCGTGGAAAGTGTGAGTGCTGCGTAAATATTAATTAACTCCCTTGCCTGATCCGTGTGAGCACATTAGAACAAAGCGCTCTGTAATTAGCTATGTCTTAATTTAGACAGCAGAACCTAGCACTCGTCTGTCCATCTCACAGTGGGAAGCTTTCGACATGACCAGAGGTGGGTGGCCTGGGTGCAAAAAAAAATATGATCGTGTGGAACCCAATAGATTGCTTCATGGCTGAACCAGCTGGTCATGTGAGCAAAACATTTCAAGGGAGAATGATATGATTAAGGGACAACAGTGAAATCACATGTAGTTTAGGAGCTCCATCTCAAAATCTGTTACAAGCAGTGGTGAAATTCAATTTTTTTATTACCGGTTCTGTGGGTGTGGCTTGGTGGGCATGGCAGGGGAAGGATACTGCAAAATTCCCCGAATCCCTTCGGGGAATAGGGCGGCTTACAAATTGAATAAATACCAAATACCAAAATCTCCATTCCCACCGCACTCTGGGGCCAGCCAGAGATGGTATTTGCCGGTTCTCTGAACTACTCAGATTTTCCGCTACCGGTTCCCCAGAAGCGGTCAGAACCTGCTGGATTTCATCCCTGGTCACAAGGCTGGAAAGTACTGGGTCTATGCAGAATGCAGCTCAAACGTGATCAAAAAAAATAAAATGAAATTGTCCTCCGGGGACTGAGCCAAATAACCTTTTTTCCCCCTTCCCATCAAATTTCAAAGCTAATTGACTTCTTGGCAACTTTGGATTGTCTTGACAATTCTAGACAGCTTGCAAACAAAAAGAAAACAATACATGTAAAAAAGGTCACAGCCAACTGGAAGAACAGTTCACCAGCTATGAACCAATGGCAACTAAAGGAGGCTTGATAGTCCTTTGAGGTAGCCCAGACATGAAGCAAGCCATTCCCACATACCATTCCTGAGCTTCACTATCACTCTCTCCCAAAGCCTAGGACAGGGATGGCTTTTCCTTTTTCATGTCGAGTGCCCAAAGTGTGTGTGTGCACGAAACCCCAAAATGCAATGTGAGCACCACCACCCTCGTGCAGGCACCCCATGCCCCCTATGCCCATGCCCGGCAGAGACCCAAAGATGGCCGGAGGTGCGTGTGCATGCGTGGTGGAGCTGGGCTGGGGTGATGGCTGGCGTAACAACACAGAGAGGACTCTGCGTGCCCTCTTGCCATCATGGGCCTAGGAGAACTACTGGGTCCCTAACAATGTCCTAAATGTCAGAAGAGTGGAATGAATCTCTGGGGGATATCATTCCAGAAGACAGGTCCAGCCTGGGCTCCTGTAAGATGACACTGTTTAATTAATGGGACCCAGGGCACAATCACTGCGTGATCATATCCAATTGTCATCAGAAAAGGTAGTTGCTGTTTTCCTATAATGGAGCGAGGATAATGGAGTTATAGGCAAGAATCAGGCAAGGGAGTTATAGTAAATATCTTTCTATCACTCCTTCCAGAGGGAGGGCTTAAAACTGTTGTGACACTGCGAATAGTGGGCTCTTCATTCCGTGTTTTCTCAAGTCTTCTTCCATTAAGTTCCCTTCTGGCTTTTCAATTTGACACTGGAGAAAGGGATGGTGCTATCCCCTCCCACATGAAGCAGTGTCTTCTGAGCTCCACTTTCAGAGTGAGTAGAATGGAAACACCCACTTTAGAATGCCTTCTCTCCATTCTAGAAAATGGGCATTCATGGCAAATCCAATGGATAGTTTGGAAAAAGAGGCACTGAATGTTGGCTTCCTGTTTCTATACTATTACTTCTCAACCTTGACAATTTTAAGATATGTGGACTTCAACTCTCAGGATTTTCCCAGCCACCAAGTCGCAAAAGCTCTGCGTGGCTTTAGGTCAATCATTCTATCTGAACCAACATACTTCATAGGATTATGGTGGCACAGTGGTTACTGCCAGAAGTTCAATCCTGACCAGCTCAAGGTTGACTCAGCCTTCCATCCTTTGTGGATATGTCCATGATTACCTTTACAATAAAATAGAAGTTTACCACTGCTTTCTTTCACAAATTTTTCTTTCCAATTTCCTGGTCTAGCGTACAATCCCGGTCTTTCCTAGGCATCTTCTATGCGTGTAGGAAACAGGTCCAATCCAGCTAAAGTTAAGGTCACCTAAGGTCAGCCAACCGGGCAGATTTCTACAAAGAAAAAACAAAACCATGAATGCTAAAAACAATACTGACTTCCTTAGCAGTGTCTGCGTCTGTAATAATGCTCATTAAAATTCCCTAGCAAATGTTGCAAGCCCTGCTGATTTTTCAAGTCACACTGATATGAAAAGCACTGGAAAGTGCTTTTCTGGTTAGTAGCTGGTTGACCAGACCAACATATCTTTTTCTGCCTTGAAAGATGGCATTCATATAGTCTGTCACAGCTCGCCAAGTTGTGCCATTCCTTGTTCATTCAATTCCTTGTTTTCTTGCTTCCTCTGACAACTCTTTTCTCTTTTTGTGTCTGCTGTAGGCATTCTTTAATTAGGACTGTGTGGGACGGGCTCTCGGGATTCAGCGGGCAAGAGCTTCCAGAAAGGATAGTTGGATTTAGATAGCTTCTTCCAGGCAGAGCCCTCATTTCCTCCTACCTCAGTTGCCTACGTTCCTGTTGCATTCCCCAGACAGATGCCACCAGTCTCTCTGGGTCTGCCCACTTGGTAGCTGGATGCTTTCCTTCCCCTTCTGCCTTTCATGCTCCCCTTTCAGTCAAGCCTTTTGCTGCCCTCTGCCCTCACCATAAACCCAATTTTCGGCTGCTCAGTTGTTTAAATTAGATTGGCCTGGTTCTCCCCACTTTACTGTATTCGCAAGCCTGAAGTTCAGGGATGGGTGATTCATCCCATTGCTACACCACTCTGCTGACAAATAATCTAAGCACAGTTTGTGCATCTGCATCTGTTGGCAATAGGAGGCTTGGATTGCTCTCATTAAAAAGGAATATGCTAAATTGCCTCCTTCCAAAAATCCCGTGGCTTGATTCAGAAGTGACAGTTGAAAAATAAATGAACAGTCCTTACTGTAGAATGACACCTGACTCCAAACTCTAAGATTGAGTATAAAGTCTCGCAAAGCCATTTTGTAGCAGGTGTGCGAATTGTGCATGTGATGTGTTTTGCAGTGCAAGTTGACTTGGGAAGCAAGTCTCATCTTTGGTGGGATTTACTCTTGGATCAATTTACTTGGGATTGTGTGGATAAACACTGGAATGTCTAGCAGGCCAATCATCCCATTTCAGCGGAAGGCCATTCTTTTAGCAACAGGTTTTGGTGTCACCCAACCCTTCACTGAGTCAGCCAAAAGGGACCACCACAAGGACATCTAGATGGTTTTTAATAATACCCTGCTGGTGTAATGTTGAGTTTGATCAGGGTTTTTAAACTAGGGAAAATAATGGAGTTTCCTCTGATTGATTGTCTATGGAGATTCTCAAGTCATCCAGGTCATGGTTGTCCCAAAGGTGCTTTTTCAAAAGGCAACTGGATTTTGTTTTCCCTTGAAGAGGTTTTGCTTCCCATTCAAGAAACATATTCAGTTGTGACTCAGCATCACTGACTCAGTTATGACTTCAGTCAGAATTAAAGAAGCTTCTTGGATGAGAAGGAAAAACGAAGTCCGGTTGACTTTTGAAAAAGCATCTTTGGGTTTCCTCTGATTCTTCGGTCCTTTGGCTTCCTATTGGTCTCCGAACGCGCTTCAAGGTGCTAGTCATTACTTTTAAAGCCCTACATGGCTTAGGACCTGGATATCTGAGAGACTGCCTCCTGCCACATACCTCCCAATGGCCGATAAGATCTCACAGGTTGGGCCTTCTCCGGGTATCGTCGACCGGATAATGCCGGCTGGCGGCCCCTCGGGGGAGGGCCTTCTCTG